GGTATATATATATATATATATGTGTGTATAATATATATATATATATATATATATATTTATTAGGGTGTGTGTGTGTGCGTCTATATATGTATATGTATATATATATATATATATATATATGTGTGTGTGTGTATTATTGTCTTCATCTTTATATTTGTATTCATGTCTTACTTATTCTTATCTTTTACTTTTTTATACTTTTACTTGTGCTCAAATTTATATATTTATAAATCGTATTTGTACACCTGTACTCGTGCATTGTATATGTTTATTCTGTACCACATTTTGAACTCCTGAAACGCTATATTCAGTTACATGACTACGTGTACCGGTGTACAGGCCATTTTATAGTACGAATGTATGCCATGCATGTTGTGCGTTGTGTTACTCGCCCTGTGAATGTCGCCCCAAGAGCAGAGCACCGGAAACAATACACCATTACATTTCGCTAGGCGTAGTGTTTTTGTTTTGTTTTATAATTTGAATACTACGCTTTTTGTTTTTTGTTTTTGTTTTAAAAAGACAACAAAAAAAACACGGTTCCAGGATAATTCATAATTGATAACCACGTGGCTGATGGCCCTGGGGCCTGGGCAAATGCTGCTGGGTAAAAATTAGATTCTTCTCCACGCCCCCCCCCGCCCCCACCCCAGCAGGACAAAATCATTTCAGACACTCTCTGTGGCCAGAGCCCAGGCCCCAGAGGGCCAGAGAGTAACAGACACTCAGACAGTACTGAGGAGGAGTGGAGACATGCCATCCAGACTTGAGTCAGACACTGCGAGTGTCTGAGACGAGACACTCAGACAGTGCTGGGGACATGCCTTCCAGACATGAATCAGACTTCAGACTGAGTCCAGAGGCCCGGGCACTCGGCTCTGTCGGGCTGCCGGCAGGGCCATGAAATATGAATGTTTCGATTGAAAATTCAAAATGAACAATGTAAATATGAATGTTATGTGATATTGTGATGTGACTACTGTATGTATGTAGTGACTACTGTATGTATGTAGTGACTACTGTATGTATGTAGTGACTACTGTATGTATGTAGTGACTACTGTATGTATGTAGTGACTACTGTATGTATGTAGTGACTACTGTATGTATGTAGTGACTACTGTATGTATGTAGGGACTACTGTATGTATGTATGTATTGTAGTACTACAAAAATGTTTTTTTAATTTAAAATTCCTGTTCCTTTGGTATGTACTATTTTCTACCAATGAAATTGTTTTCACATGACATTAGTTTGTTGCAAAATAAAAAACACCTTCTCGAACCAACACAACTTTGTTATTTTTCTAAAAATATTTATCCAGATTCTAAAGAGTAAAATAAAAAAGATAACACTGATAAAAAACTGAATATTACCTATGTTGTAGTATGTAGGGTCAGGGTGAGGGGCATTAAACGCCCCTGACGCCTGACGGTCGCTGATAAATTTGTGATACGGATCTGTCGTGACTTGTGTGAGTGTGAGTCAGTGGTGTCTGACTAAGATCACATTTGAGACATCCTCAGACCTCAATGCTCAAGCGATGAGTTGATCATAAGCGATCACACAACTGACACTCAGACTGTGAGCCTGAGAAATGATTAAAACGAATCAACGACTAAACATCTGCAGCAATAAATAATAAACTGTTGTCGAATATCTACGAGGACAATCTCGGGATATTCTTCATTTATGTGCAAACGTCTACGGGTCCAACAGACTTCGTATAGGTCACAAGTAAACTGGAATAACCCCCAGCCAAACTCAGAATAACATGGGCACAGACTCCACCGAGAGTTATGCAGGAAAAACGAATGGCACGTCCATTTTTTTGGACTTGCCCCACGAGAGTATCTCGCCAGGGACTACGTACGCCCGAGAACTGCACACTCCAGATGTCATGAGTATGAACAACTCAAGGATATCTATGGACTCATTTCACGCACCGACTAATGGTACATCGGGCCCCTCGTTGAATGTGAATGGGTCCCGTACGGAAACAGTGCAAATGAATATTCCTAAGCCGTCATCAAACACGCCCAAGTCTACTGTTAAAAAAGGAAGAGAAATAGTCCAGCACTTCCGCTTAGCGTGGTTTGCGATGATCATGGGCTGGTCCGGTACCGCAATAGTAATTGACGGGTTCCCAGGAGCATCGGGCGATTTCAAATATTCACTGAATATTATTGGAACAGTGGTGTGGCTGTGGGGTTTGGCGTATTCTATAGTCTTTCTAGTAGCGATTATGGCGAGATTAATAAGTTATCCTGCTGGGTTTTGGATGATGATGCAGGTAAGATTTCAAGTTAGTCGTGTTGAACAAAATCGTCAAAAATATAAACTAATGTGTGTGTGTGTAAGTGTGTGTGTCTCTGTGTCTGTGTCTGAATGTATGTGTGTTTGTGCCTGTGTATGATAAATGGCACCCTTATAAACGCAAGCAACAGGTGCACATGCGTATAAATATAT